TAACGGCTCCCACATATTGAGGGGGGGAAAGCCACAGCAATCTCATGCTTTACAGGTTTCTTTTTGGCCAGATAGAATAGCAATACTTGGATACAGCAAAATGGCTTTAATCTTTTTTTAAATAATGTTTTATTAATTTTTTTAACAGAATTCAATAATCATTTAACAAAATGTGTTGTCTGAGTATCTTATTCACTAATACAAATTAAATTCCTAATCACTACATCTTTTCTCTAAACATTGATAAAATAGGTCCCAAGTTTGAAAATGTTCTGTTTCTTCTTTTTCTTTCAACCTTAAAATAAGTCTGTCCATTTCCGCACAGTCTAGTATTTTTTAAATTATTTCTTCTGGTGGTGTTTCTTCGTTCTTCCAATATCGTGCTTTAATCTTTCTAAAGTGCCCAGATCAGAAAGCAGAGGCGTTTAACTTCATTCTGAAAGATCAGATTGATTCATTAGAATTAGGAAGCGGGGCTTGTGAGCCCAATGGGGGTCCTAAAATGGACTCTTGAGGAACCCGTCACATATTCTGTGCCTGAACATTGCGTGAAAAGAGATCTCTGCTCCTGCGTGTTTTTGCTGATCTTGTCATTACGGGATCTGGATTCACAAATACCTAGAAAGCCGTGTGAGAACCAGTGCTGCAAAATGCCGGAATTGCTTCAACGGTGCTTCTGGCAACCGTGGATTGGATTACTGTGGTCCATGCTAATTAAATGTTTTAGCATTTTCAAAGCTTAGATAATGAAGTTTCCCTCATTAGCAGGTCTGCTTACCTTTCTGCAGCATTCAGACACTGATTCTACACTGGAGGCTCAACAGTTGAGGTTACCAATTCCACCTGTGCTCTTGGCTCTAGTATTACCTAGTGATGGAAGACTTGGGTATACGATACGTGAGTGCGTAGTGTGTATTGAGTACACCCAAGTCTCTTGCCCTTTTATTACCTTTCAGCTTCCACATTAATACTTAATGGCCACATCGGTTGTAATTGTCTTTGATTTCATGAGAAATTAATGACCTTCTGCAACACATTGCTTTCTCTTTTTCACTGGCGATCCCTCAAAAGGAAACCACATTTTTATAACTTTGGGCAACTCTTTAATTCACCGATTCTTTTTGAGATGTTCATCCCTAGGAATGTCATTATTTGTCCTACCTGGATAGTAGTGTAGGACAGAAACAGGAAAGATGGCATTTAAATCATTGATTAGCCATAAAACTCATTTAGGTAGAGTAAAGCACAAGATTATTTTTTTTAAAAAAACTGCAATGTAAAACTCCCTGGGAAGAGGTGGGTTTTTCCTGAAAAATGCAGATTTTTGACCAGATGAACATTTATTTATCACAAGGGTAGCTTAATTCTATCTGTTCTACCATATAAACCACTATCCTGTATGGAAACTGCACGATAATTCACCTTTGTGGCTTTTGGAAGGGCTGAAGTGCGAGTCAAAGTCCTGAACGTGAAAACGTAACGTTTACTGCCACCAAGTGGCAGAGGTCAGTTTGTGCATGCATGGAGGTCTTGCACACCTTTGCAGGAGTTGGTTTACTCTGCAGATTATCTGGCAGGCTTGGAAGTCTTAAGTTTACAAAAGGTTAACGTCAGAGGAAGTGAGAACAAGGGGATAGGCCACATTTTCTCAAGGGAAAGTGGAAGATTTAATGAAGAGAAGGACGAGGGGGGACATGATAGCAGCGTTCCAATATCTCAGGGGCTGCCCCAAAGAAGAGGGAGTCAAGCTATTCTCCAAAGCATGGAAGGCAGGACAAGAAGCAACAGATGGAAACTCATCAAGGAGAGAAGCAACCTGGAACTAAGGAGAAATTTCCTGACAGTGAGGACAATTAACCAGTGGAACAACCTGCCTCCAGAAGCGGTAAATGCTCCAACACTGGAAGTTTTTAAGAAGAGACTGGACAGCCATTTATCTGGAGTGGTATAGGGTTTCCTGCCTGAGCAGGGGGTTGGACTAGATGACCTCCAAGGTCCCTTCCAACTTTTTATTATTATTAGTATTATTATTGATTTGGATGCCTCTTAAACAACTTCCAACTCTATTCTATTCTAATGTATGTCTGTGGAGATTCTTAGTCTATCCAGGTCCTGGTTGTCCCCAAGGTGCTTTTTCAAGAGGCAAGTGGACTTTCTTTGTTTTTCCTTGAAGACGTTTCGCTTCTCATCCAAGAAGCTTCTTCAGTTCTGGATTGAACCGCCTTTGGGCCATTGTTTGTCATGCTGGAATTAAATCTCATTGGAGACTCTTATGAAGACACTTACGAGTTCCAAATGAGTAAAATAAATGGAAATGCCCTGCCATCACTACCCCCAACTCATACTCCTCTTCTTCCTTAAAAAACAGCGTATGGCATTTTCATTACAGGCTAAGCGGCAAAGACATCTCACTCAAATCCTACAAGCCATTGAATATGCTTTGGTCTCCTTTTTCTGCAGCACTTCCTAAGAGGAAGAGAGCATTTCTGACGTTCTAATGGTGGGCTATTTAGTCAAGATTTTTTTTAAAAATCTCGCTACCAAAATTTAGAACATTATACAGATTGGGGACACACGCCTTTCCATTCCTGGGCGAAATGGAGAAGGACGATCAACTTTCAGAGCAGGTTTATTGAACTTCTGCTTAGCTTTGGAGAGGGACCAGGGTCTTTGGAAGACGCTACCCTAACTCTCTGGAATTTGCATGACCGTATTTCTGATCTTTCAGGTTTTTACTCACTGATCTCGTTTTGTTTTTCAGAAAATAGAACCGTGGGAAAAAGAAATTACAGAAGCGGATATGCTGGAGTATGTCTGGGAGAACAGTGTTTCTGAAAAAAACGCTTTGAGGACATTGCTTCAGATAAGAGCAGTTGAAAAAGCTGAAGAAATTAGCAGAGAGGAACTTCTTGCCTCTGAGGTGATGCAAGATTACAAAAAGTCCATGGTCCTCTTGAAAAATGAAGGCGAAACAGAGAAGAATCTTTTGGAATATAAAAACTCGGTTAAGAGACTGTTAAATATCCAGGGCTTGTAAATGTAAGCAGTTATTTTGCGGGATGCTGTATATATATATACTGGTGGACATAGTCCTAATAAAAATTTTAATACTGTCCAGCTGCAAATGAAAATGATCATCTTTCCTCCTCTTTCCCCGCTCCCCAATATATTTCACCCAGAAAAGTCAACCAACGACAACATAGCTGTAATTCAAAGTTGTGTATATTATTTATTAAACATTTTTGCCACCCATCTACTCTGGGTGGTTTATTCAGTTCATCCTGGAAATTGTCTAAATTCACTTTGCAAAAATACCAGAATTTGCGCAAAAAAGTCAAGGGAAGTGAAAGAATTACTGTGGTAACCAGTTCCTGTTTTAATCATACACCGACATCCTTAACCATCTACTGCCTGTCCTGCTCTTTATTTGTTGGCTCATCTTGAAAGAACAAAATTCATATCGGGCCTTCAAAACCCAACTGGAAAATACTGTGTCTCAAAATCAGGGTGGAAAGAAGGGATCCAAGGAGAAAGAACTAAAACACTAGAAGCTAAAAAATATTTTGCAGACATTCCAGAAGAGATCGGAATAGCGTTCTCTTTAAAAAGCATGCAGATGAAAAGGATGCCCCAGGATTCCATTCATCAGCTAGTTTCTTGTGTATTCCTAGATACATTATTCCCCACAGCAAAGAGAAGCAGAGATGGTTAAATTGATTCCTTTACCCAAAGAACAGAATATACTTAATCTTGTTTCTATTTTGAAATTGCTTCTGGATTTTGTGCTTGCAATGAGAGAAAAAAAAATGGAACTTTGATTCTGTTTTTGTGAACTAGATAGGCTTATTGTTATAGAAATGGCTTATATTGTCTGAAAGCTACATTCTGTTCTAAAATGCTTTTATGTTTGCTACATAGTAACCAGATATGAGACAGAGAAAAACAAACATGCTCCCAATTTCAGCTTTATGTCAATTTGTCTTGTCTAATGGTCAGTCGCCATATTTCAACATGATTATGATGGAAATACATTGTCATATCTTCATATGCAAAGATACAAATTCTTTGTGTGTCCAATCACACTTGGCCAATAAAGAACTATTCTATTCTATTCTATTCTATTTCCATTCTTCCTATTCCTATTCTATTCTATATTCTATTCTATTCTATTCTATTCTATTCTATTCTATTCTATTCCTATTTCCATTCTTCCTATTCCTATTCTATTCTATATTGTTTTCTATTCTATTCTATTCCTATTTCCATTCTTCCTATTCCTATTCTATTCTATATTCTATTCTGTTTTCTATTCTATTCTATTCTATTCTCTATTCTATTCTATTCTACATTCTATTCTGTTTTCTATTCTATTCTATTCTATTCCTATTTCCATTCTTCCTATTCCTATTCCTATTCTATTCTATATTCTATTCTGTTTTCTATTCTATTCCTATTCTATTCTATTCTATTCTATTCCTATTTCCATTATTCCTATTCCTATTCTATTCTATATTCTATTCTGTTTTCTATTCTATTCTATTCTATTCTATTCTATTCTATTCTATTCTATTCCATTCTACATTCTATTCTGTTTTCTATTCTATTCTATATTCTATTCTATTCCATTCTACATTCTATTCTGTTTTCTATTCTATTCTATTCTATTCCTATTTCCATTCTTCCTATTCCTATTCTATTCTATATTCTATTGTTTTCTATTCTATTCTATTCTATTCTATTCTATTCTATTCCTATTTCCATTCTTCCTATTCCTATTCTATTCTATATTCTATTCTGTTTTCTATTCTATTCCATTCTACATTCTATTCTATTCTATTCTATTCTATTCTATTCTATTCTATTCTATTCTATTCCTATTTCCATTCTTCCTGTTCCTATTCTATTCTATTCTATTCTATATTCTATTCCATTCCATTCCATATTCTATTCTATTCCATATTCTACTCTACTCCATTCCTGATGAATTTGGAATTTGACCATTAAAAACTGCTCTTAACGGCAGAGTATTTTATGAATCGGCTAGGTGCTGATCTTCCTTTCTGCCTTGGTTTATAATGGCCTCTCTTTTTCCATCCTGTTGCCAAAAAGATACCACAGCAGCAGCAGCAGCAGCCCGTGAAGGCCATCAAAGAACAAAGTGCAATCAGAGGCCACCAGGCCCCTCTTCCCGCCATCTCCTCTGAGGGCTGCTGGCCTCCATCGTGATCAGAACTGTTGTTCCTTCCACTGTAGACTTTGGTTTCGTTCAAGGGTTTGCTGTTATTGGGAAGGACCCCGCCAGGCGATAGCGATGCCATCTGGATGGGTGCAGAAGATGCCTTGGCATCACCTGAAGTGGGGGTAGAGCTGTTCCTCCCTGGAAGAACCTCAGCTGCTTTCACCGAATCGTCCATGGCCGAAGCCGACGCCATCGACGTGATGGCTGAGTTCTTGAGGGCAACATCTACTGCTGAGCTCCTGTTGCTCCTGTCCACACCTGAGTTTGTGGCTGTTGTGGGAGAGGAGGCCTCCGGGAAGAGGAATCTTGTGGAAGATAGTTCGTCCTGGTCTAGGTCAGCAACCCGGGCCCCGCCATGCCTCTCCCACTTATGAAAAGAAGACCGGGTGTTTATATCTTTGAACGAGAGCTTCTCGAAAACAAGAAGATCAGGATCAACTCCTGGGGAAACCCAAGAAAGAAGAAAATTTTAATTTTTTATCTCCTCTCATCCAACAGTATCTGATCTATAGACTTACCTCCACCAACTCTGTGTTGGGCACCAGTCCAGTTCCTGGACAAGGGAGGCCCTCCACTCGGTCACTCAAGCCCTGGTCATCTCCTGACTGGACTGTTGCAATGTGTTCTACATGGGGCTATCCTTGAAAAGTATCCAGAAGCTTCAACTGGTGCAGAATGCAGCAGCCACATGAGCTATACTGGGTACCTAAAGATGGGTACATACAACCCCTCTGCTCCATGAACTGCACTGGGTGCCAATTTGCTTCTGGGTCCAGCCCAAGGTGTTGGTTGTTACCTATAAAGACCTATATGGCATTAGGGCCAGGCTACCTATGAACCAGCTTTGCCCCATCACATCAACCTATCCCACGCATTCAGGCACGGAAGGCATGCTACACACCCTGTGGTTGTTTTTTTTTTCTTTCTTCTTCTTCTTTTGTCTCTTTAAAAAAAAGAACATCTTGGTCCTTTGAATTTTAGCTTTCTTTGAATAAACCAAATATTATACAGTAAAAAGTTTGGTAAACAAACAAAAACAAGCAAACAAACTTCATATCTGGATACTTTCTAAAAAAAGCAAGTGACATTCTACAGTAAAAAAAAACCTTAAAACATTACATTATAGCTCAGCAATCAAAGCACCCTAAAATGGTATTATAATTGTTATTATTACCCATACCAATATTTATTTTATTTATTTATTTATTAAATTTATATACCGCCCTATCTCCCTTACGGGACTCAGGGCGGTGAACAGGCGATACTAAAAACCACAATAATAAATAAATAGTTTCTGTTCTAAAATCAAATTAAATAACAGGCCTGTTCTAAAAACACCCCATACAAA